AATTTATAAAACTTTTAATAAATAAAAAAAAAAACATATCTACCAGCTACATGGTGTCTCTAAATGAATAATTTCAGACAGGGGGGTTCAATTCATGGCTAAGTTTTGGAGGCGCTTTTTTAAATTAATTGGATCATCTTAAGGTTTATCAACTGCTTTTCACCCATCTACTAATGGAGCCATGGAATCCGCTAACAAAGTGGTGGAGCAATATCTCAGATACCAACAAACCAACTGGACCGACCTCCTCCCCTTCGCAGAGGTGGCTTACAATAACTATGTTCACAGCAGCACCAGTTTCACACCTTTCAGAGTAGCCACAGGAAAAGAGTTCAACCCAATACCTAAATACCCCCAAGCGCCCTCAACTTCTAAGACACTTGATCAGTGGGTGAGGGGATGGGAAAAAGTTTGAAAAAACACAAAAACTGCTTTAAGAAAGGCTTCTGGGACCTATAAAAAGCAGGCAGATAAAAAAGGGCTCCTCAAAGAACATTTCAAGTTGGGGAAAAGGTTTATCTGTCAACTAAATATTTACGCCTAAAATTACCAAGTAAGAAATTAGGACCAAAATTCTTGGGGCCTTTCCCCATTGTAAAGATCATTAACCTGGTTACTACAGAATTAAAACTCCCTAGACTTTTAGGAAGAGCTCACCCTGTCTTCCATTGCAGCCTGATGAAACCTTTACAGGGTTCCATTTTAAGACGTAAGAAGGCACCTGGACTTCTCGTAGTGTTGGGTCAGATCCACTATGAAGTAAATCATATTCTTTATTCTAGAATTTTTAAAGGGAAATTGCAGTACTTAGTACAATGGATAGTACAACTTCACTTGGGTGAAGTCTAGCGATGTGAAAGCCAACAGATTCATCAAAAGATTCTATAGCAGTGGTTCTCAACTTTTTTAATGCCGCGACCCCCAACCGGTCATAAGTCAAGGACTACTCAACTGGTCGTAAGTCGAGGACTACTCAACTGGTGCAGTACCGTTTGCAGAATGGAACTTTTGGTGGGCTCAGCAGGGCAGAGACAGCCTGGACAATTCCTATTGGCTTTCAAAAGCCAATAGAAATAAAAGGGAGTAGCACAGCTAAGGAAAAGGGGGAAAAATGGCGGACTGCGTTGTTTGGTGACCCCCGTGAAATGGTCGTTCGACCCCAAATGGGGTCCCGACCCACAGGTTGAGAACCACTGTTCTATAGGAAACACCCTAGCAAACCGAGAGGCAATCCCTAACATATGCTTTTGTTTACATTACAGGATCTGTCCTTTTTGTAAGGGAGGCCAGATGTCAACGCTGCTAACATTGGATGTTTTTGCTTTGACAACAGTTGGAGATGCAACCACTTTTTCTTATGTTTTACTTTTAGAGTTAGAGTTAGATGATGCTGGGGAGAGGAATGTGCATGACAGTTTAGCTAGAGATAAAAATATTGGACCTAGTGTGTGAACCAAGGTTATTAAAATAAGAGATGATAAGAATTGGCCTGCTGGAGAACTGGAGGGAAAGCCTACATTTCAAACTAATTGAAGAATGTGATTTATGACTGTTAATTGGAGGAGGGAATTGTGCTTTGATAGGATGTGCTCAGGAGAGGGGAATCTAGTTTTTGGCTTCAATTATGTTAGTGCCGATGCTATGCTTCTCTAATAAAGATTCTTTAAGGTAAACAATGCCTCAAAATTCTTTGAAAAGTTTCATCTGTTGGAATCATGACAGATATCCAGGAATTGCAATTCTGAAACTGTGGGACTCAGGATGCTACTAAGGCAACTCATGGTGTTCTGAAAAGCAGAGCCAATAATTGTAGGTCATCACTTTCTCAAGTGTTACCATGGTCCAGAACAGCAAGGCTCTACTTCAATCTCAGCTGTTTTTGACCATGAGGATTCTGGAAGAGTTGTAAGTGTGAAAATCAGTCATAAATTACTTTTTTCAGTGCTGTTGTAACTTCAAAAAATCACTAAAAATGTTGTAATTCAAGGACTACATGTATAGGCATCCAATGTTGTAAAGTCAGATTTGTCACCAAAAGTCACTTCCAAAACTTGTTGAACATTTTCATGTCATGAGAAGACAACTTTTGAAAACCTTTTATTATGGTGCCATAATATGAGGAATAAGCTAATGATCCCAAAGTCAAGTATTCAGTGGTATTATTTTTCCAACTCTGAGCAAGCAAGAATAGCAATCATTGATAGTTTATCAATTTTTTCTTATTCGCCAAACTCCTTGTTTGATATAACTTTAATTATGTTAACAAAATCTTTTCATGCAGGCAGGCAAGAAGGAATGGGGTGCAAAAAAGCAATTTCTAGACCCACCAATATTTTATACATATTAGACCTCATTAACATTTTTACAAAATTAAAATGCTAGCAGTGGGTAAACTCTTCAGAATATGATTAGGACTTTATAAAACATTCATCTGCTAATAAATAAACATTAACACAAAAATCTCTGCATGCCTCAAAAGATTGGGGACACAGCTTCCAGTTCCAGTTCACAGTGGTGTGGTCAAGCTAAGGGAGTTGTCCCTTTGCCGATCAAGTTTCCTCTGCTGGTAGACTCCTTAGAGGGTCAAAAAAATACTCTGGAGGAGCATCTACCATTGAGGTGGCTTCTCAGATAGTTGCACAGGAGCGGCGGCATCCTCTGTGCACCAAGTATCTCCTTTGGGCCGACAGGGTAAAGATCGGCCAGTAAAATGGCCAATCATTTAGCTGTGCCAACCACAAGCCACAAGATCAGCTAAGCAAACAAACCCAACATGGAGAACTCGGTGAGACTTTCCTTTCACCTCTATTTTCTTTACGCCTGTGAAAAGTTTTTTTCTTGGAATTATTCCTTTTTCTGGTGAAGCGGCTTTTTAAAGGGGGGAAGAGAAGCACAAAGGATTAAATTTACTTTTGTTTTAATGGCTGATTTTATTTTTGGACATTGGGAGCCTCAAAAAATTTTTTTATAATATTTGGAGAATATTGTTTGCTTTTATCTTTATGGTGGCCGGAAGGATTGAACATTTGATTACTTTCTAGGGAACACTTTTCAACAAATTTATTCATTGTATTTGCTATCTTTTCTTCGCTGGAAAGGCTTTCATTTTGTACAAAGGAAAAAGATGAGGAAACTGAGAGGAGATGGATAGTGATTGTTTTTTAAATATAGTCTTCTTCAAAAGGATAAGGATTTGAATTATAATAAAGATGGAGGAAAATGGTGTAGATCTTACTTATATAGATATTACTTATAAGTAATATTTTGGACAAAATTTTGGAAAATACAGAGAAGATAATTGCTTGCTCAAAGGAGATTTCTTTGTTTCAACAAGGCAAAAGACAAGGACTAAGTGAAACATCAGTTTACACACAAGAGGCTTGTGCTCTTCTTACCAAGGTGGAAGAAGTAAATTCACAGTTGGACAATCAATTCCTTTTGATAGCAACAGACAAAGGACCTATGACAAGGAACTGGACTATCTTGCATCAGAAGGACAATTTGGTCTGCAAATGCCATTTGATTCTGAGATAGAGAAAAAAACATGGGAAGAAGAGAAAAACATGAGTAAAAAGGATGATATAAAATATAGGTTTTTATAGATTAATTTTTTATTGATTAATGCAGTTGATGGTTAGACATAGTAATGAATGAATTTATCTGAAAATGTATTAATTTGAGTATAATATTCTATATAGATAGAGAGGGAAATTTTTAAGAAATAATGTGTATATATTTACTATGTTATTGTTTGTTTTTAAACAAATGGATCACCATGTTTCCATGTGGGTTCTTAAGCTGTGTTGGTGTAAAATGGAAAACTAATAAAAATTGTTTTGGAAAAAAAGATTGGGGACACCTAACTACTTCACAATACACTCACTTTTGGAGCACTCTGGTTCTCATCAATGACAGAAACACTAACATTGCAAATTGGAGACATTCAATTAATGGATGGAAAACTCAAAAGTCAAGTCTAAAAGAAGTTATTTACATTATTCATAATTAATTAATGGAACACATAACAATCACAATGCAGGCCAGAGGCAGCTGTGAGCTGCAGTATGGAATCACTTCAGATGTTTATATAAAAAAAGATATTTGTAAAAAAAAGAAAAAAGGAATAACCAACATAAGAAAAAGCAGGATCTAGGGAAATAGTTAGGTCATCCTGAACAATGTAGGCATGAATGCTTTGCATCTGGCCTGAATTATGCAAGCCCCTTACTTTCCTAAGATGTCATGAAGATGTCATTCATGACCTTATGGGTTGTAAAATGAATGAATATCATATTTTCATCCAATATAAGAATTGCATGCTGTTAGTTATCAGTCTGAGGGCAAAAATAGAAAAGGTGGCTGTTGATAAATACTTGTTTCTTTATCTCTTAATTTCAAGTTAGGGAGGATGATAATAAAGCAGCATAATGAGTTTCAAGGATTCCTGTAGTTTGGAGGAATTGCTCAATTCTCCAACATTAAAAATAAATCACTATTGTGATGGAATGTAATCTGGATATTGAGGAGGGATAGAGTGCATTCCACAGGAGCAAGAAACAGGTCAATTCAGATAGCTTGTTATCAGATAGTTCAGATAGAAAAAGGAAAGAAAGAAAAACAGTTCATCCCTAATGGGCACCCTAATATTGCCTAGAATATAGGTTTTATGGGGCTGCTGGCTTGCTTTTAATTGGCAAGGTTATGTCTATAGGTGAGGAACAAAAAAGAAAGCTGCTGGAAAGAAAAAAATAAACATGAAAATCTGTCTGTAAAATAGAATTCCAGGTGTTGATATCTATTTTGGAAATATGTCATGAAAGTTTTCTCATTTAATCCCCATTTGAGTATGGAAAGCAATAGCTGCTAATTGCTAATTATGTTAAAAATCAAGAAGCTCATTATAATATTTTGCTAATTTTGTTTGTACAGTCTAAAGGGAAATAAAATGATTGCAAAATATAAATCCAGCTTTTATTAAATATAAAATCAAAGGTTCCCACTGATGATACATCTTTTTCATGACTGAACAAGAGTAGCAGTTATCAATTCCTGGACTACAATATATTGAACATTCTAAAGAACAGATATCAAGAGAGACAATAATTTTATCAAGAAATACTGTAAGTGATTTATATATTGATTATTTTACAGAAAAGCCATTTCCAAGCATTGGGGGAAAATCAGCACTTCTACCCATGATTCTATATTACATGCACTTCTATATTTTGACATTGGGAAGAGGATTTGATAAAATGAAATTAGAATCCAGTGCTTTGCTGTAATAGAAAGAGGGTTTAGGGCTAGAAAAACAAAGAGAATGGTTTTCAGAAATTTAGACTGTAAAAACAGAGATTAAAATTATTATAAATCAGAATAATGTCAATCTATTGCAGGGGAGAGGGTGGCATAAATACTTCCTAAATAATAAAGCAAATGCATACTTAATATGATGATTTATCCTCTGCAGAGGATATTAAAAATAGAGATATTTTACAACTTGCTCACATTTAGCCTGCATTGTGTGAACTGATCATTAATTGCTGAATTAGCATCCCTAACTTTGTTTCTAGGTACAACTGCCATATGAGATTTATTTTTTTTTGAAAAATTGGTTAAATGTCTGGTTTGTATTTAAACATGGTGTTGAAATTTTAATACTTCATTGTTATGGGTAGAGTGAGATTACATTGTAGTGAAAAAGGTGGGGTGAAATTTCTCTTCAATATTATTTGGTAGGAACAATCAATTATGTTTTTAAGTTAATTTAAAAAATCAATTTCCTCTATTTAATTGGATAAGTATGTTACATATACCTCTATTATATACTATTATGTATACTTCTTTATATAATATATAAAATCAAGAAAGTCAACTGCCAAACCAACACTTTTAAATCAGTGAAATGATCCAATATTATGATGGAACATTATTGTATTAACTATACTAAAATGTATATGTAATAAATTGTGAGAAAAGTATGGTGGTGACTAAGAATTACAAAAATGTGGGACTTCCACTTTTGCACAGTAGCAACCAGTCTCAGGCTTGTGGATTCTCCGCACCCTCGCAGCTAATTTTGCCCTGCCTGGGGACCCTAAATATATCTAAGTCACCCCAGAGAGGTGATGAAGAAAGAAGGATATCCAGCGATTCTGGAATGGTGGCGGCCATTCCTTTCGACTTGGGGAAAGCCTTCTAATCCAACAGGAGAAAGGCTGGCCATATTGCATCGACCAGCCCAAGCTACTTGCAACCGGTCCAAAAGCATTAACCAGCACAACTGTGAACAGTGTGCTTGAAACTGGGTGAGGAATTTGATCTTCTTTTTTCTATTTTACATTTAATTTCCTGGAAAAGATTCCCAAGAAACTTCTTTACTCTTGCTTTTCTTTCTTCTTTCTTTTTTCTTTTTTTTCTACTGTTTTATCTATTTTTAAGAAATGTAAAAGTGTGAGATGATTCGTATGGAAAAATAGAGTTAAATTCTTAAATGTAATTAATTTTTGAGAAAATCTTAACCAGTGAGAATATCTAGAATTTGGTGGGGAAAACAAATTAAAATAAGGACTGTAACAGGATCTATGATAAGGCAACTAGAATAACTGGATAGAAAAGAAATATTATATTGATATGATTATTATTTTTAGGACTATTGGGAAAAATATATATTTAATTGTTATCTATCAAAACAATAAGAATTGTATTAATTCGGGTGGTTAGCGTCGATGATGGCGGCTACATTGTAGCCGTCCTCCTGGGACAGCGTGAGAACCGCGGAATACAGCAGTCACCAGCTGTTCCACGGCTCAAAATCTCCCTCCTGGGCGAAGGGAGGGGGAGAGAACCACCCGAATAGAGGTAGAGCATCTCAAACCCCCCAGGGATTTTGGGGGGGGTAGCAAGAGAGCTCCCTCAGAGTTCGGGTTGCCTCCACCTCCCAGCTGTCTTTGTTTCCTTTGGGAAACCAAGTGAAATGCCGCTACCATCTCCGCGTTTAAAGAGACAGGGTGAGTGATTTTTATATATATATATAAAGCGGACAGAGCTGGATAAAGGATTTGGTTTATTGAGTTTTATTTGCTTTTTAGTTTATGTTGATCTTTTTCTTTTTGTTTTTTTTGTTCGTGTGGAGAGTGAAAGTAAAATGGCGATTTGAAAGTTTTTTTCGGGGGGAAAAAGAAAGTGAGTCAAACGGAATGCTATGGACTATATAGTTTTTTCTTTTTTCTTTTTAAGCTTTTTCCTCTTTTTTTGAAAGTGGTCCTGTGTTTTTGAAATATCTTTTAAACTCTTCTTTGTTTTTTTTAACTTTTTGAGCATTTTTTTTTACAAAGTGGAAATAAGAAAAAAAAATTTTTTTTTAAATGGCTTCAAAAAGACAAGCAGCTTCTACAGTTCCTAAGGTGGCTTCTTCTCCTGCGATTTTACCGGTACAACAACCTAAAGCTACACCACCATCTTCTCCTCCTCTGCCAGTAATATCTGTACAAGACATGAAAGATATAATGGGAAATGCAGTAACTCAAATCAGAGGGGAAATGAAGGAGCTTCTAGATCAGAATAAAACTGAAATTAGAGGGGAAGTGAAGAATCTGTTGGAGCAGAATAACACCATTTTGAGGCAAGATATAGTTATGGCTCTATCAGATCTTGCTTCTGTGGTTGAGAAGCTTGACTCTAGAGGTGAAGAGGTTGCAGACAAGGTTGACATCTTGGAAGATAGATTTAAAGGCATGGAAAAAAAGATGGAAATTTCACAGGATGACATTGTTATGTCTCAGTACAGAGAAATGGAATATGCCTTAAGAATTAGGGGTCTCAAAGAAGATATGCAGCAAGACCTGAGAGAGATTGTGGTAAATGACTTTGCTGTTATTTTGAATAGGGAGAAAGAGGAAATACGCAGAGAGGTTGAAAAATTATTCAGAGTTAACTCCTGGATTGCAAAACAGAGAAATTTACCAAGAGATGTGGTGGTTTATTTTGGAAAGAGATCTCTGCGCAATGAAATCATACAAGCCTTTTATAATAAGAGATTCCAGATTGCTGCTCAAGATGTTATTATTTTAAAGGAGATCCCATCTAAAATTCTAAGAAAGAGAAAAGACTTTGCTTTCTTATATAATGAACTTTAAAAAAGAATGATGCCATTCAGATAGGAGATTCCGATGGGTATTGTTCTGAGCCATGCGGGGACGCGTTATAGACTTAATACAGTCACTAAAGCAAAGGAGTTTTACAGCTCCGTCCTGGGAGCAGGCTCACCATCATCTATGATGCAGAAAGTTCTGGATGGTAAAGAGGTTGAACAGCAGTCTGAAGGACCAGGTGTGATGGCGGCTGGAGAGTTACAGTTGGAGTTGTCCCGACAAGCAGAGATTAAAGAGCAAAGAATGACCCGTGCAGTGCATAGACTCAAGGAAAAGGAACAACCAGAGGAAAGAGGCTAAAGAATCTCTTCAAGAAAGTGCTTCGTTGCCAGTGGGAGGAGCAAGACCTAAGAGTTCTGCGGCACATTCTTCAATGACAGATCTTCAAGCAGTCTTCTCCAGGCTTCTGGTTAAGGGAGATGGTAAAGCTCCTGACTTGGAATGTTAACGGCCTTAATTCCCCCCAGAAGAGAAAGAAAATCTTTCATTATTTAAAGCAACATAATAATGATATTATTTGTTTGCAGGAAACACATATTATACCTAAAGATCAAAAATATTTAGTCAATTCTGGTGTTTCTTATGCACAATTACTTAGATGGGATGGTAAAAACTGGCAGTTAAAATCGTTGGAAAACCTAGCACAAGAAAATATCATATATTCATGGTTTCAGTATAGACAAATAGTGGATAGATGGAAGTTAGACTGTAATGTGGGTTTACTTAGAGAAGATGAAAATTTTCTTAAACAAGTAAAAGATCAAAGATGAACTCATATTAAGAGAATTTATGGGGTGCTAGTAGAATTGGATTCAGAGGCAGAATTAATTAAAGAATGTATGATCAAATGGGCACAAAATTTTGGTGAACCAGTTCTACTAGATACCTGGAAAATTATTTGGGTGAGGAATGTTAAATTTACACAAGCCCAGAATTTAAGGGAGAATTTTTATAAAATGTTTTACAGATGGCACCTTGATCCACAAAAAATGTCTCGTATGTATCCTGACTTACAGTCTAAATGTTGGAGATGTGGTTGTTTGGATGCTACTTACTATCATATTTGGTGGTCGTGTAAAAATATAAAAGCCTTTTGGATTAAGATATGGTGGAATATTCAAAGAATTTTTAGAAGGAGGGTAAAATTTACCCCACAATTGTTTTTATTAGGTATTGTTACTGACTGTGATATTAAAGACACAACATTGATGTTAAATTTAATTACAGCCGCAAGGCTGTTAGTAGGGCAATGTTGGAAGAAGGAATCTCTGCCTACTTTGCAAGAGTGGCTTTTTAAATTTTCTTATTTGGCGGAAATGGCAAAGATTTCGGCTTTCTTGAAGGATCAATCGCAGGAGAAGTATTTTGTGGTATGGAAAAAATGGATAGATTTTATACAATATAAGTTGGATGTTAAAAAATATTATTTAGCTTTTCAATAACTTATATTTAAAATTTAAAATATTTTTTAGATTTTATTTTTTTTATTTTTTTATTTTTTTATTCTTTTTTCTTTTAAGTATTATTCTTTTGATAGTTATATTTCTTTATATATATATTATTGTTAATCATCTTATAATTTGTTTAATTAATGTTTTTAGTATTTAGATTTAATTATGGTTTATACTTTTTTTTAGATTATTCGAAGAAATTTTAATTAAGCCTATGTTCAGCTCTGGGAAGCTCGGGGGAGGGAATGGGAGGGTTGGGGAGGTTTGGGGATGGGTTGTTTTGTTTCTGTAAAAATTTTAAAAACTTAATAAATAAAAAAGAATTGTATTAATTCAATGTTTGCAAAAGAGGATATTTTGGGAAAACAGGAAATCAACTAAAACTATTATATAGATTATGGATTATAGAAATCAATTGTTAGTGATTGTTTTACAAATGTAATCCAGACAACACACTGTTCACCAATTATTAAGTGATTTATCTTTTTTAAAAAAATCAAAATATATTACAAAAAACAGAATTACAAAAATGTATCATAGAATGGAGAGGATTAAGACTATAGAATACAATTCCCTGCTCAGTGCACAGATCCAAATTAAAGAACTTTGGATCTGTTGATACTCTTCTTGAAAACATCCAGTAAGGACAAATCATCATTTCTTGCATTATTGGACCCTCAACAAGCTATTTTTCCTTTAAAAAAATTTTTTGTAATATTTAATCTGGAGAAATGTTGATGGAGAATTTTGACACCTGCTACTAACTAACCTATAATTATATAGCGGGTGGATAGCTTTAGTCACATAGATCAGAGTGTAGTGCACTAAAAAAACATAAAGAAAAAGATGAAGAGTTGAACAGATACTTAAATTAATAGAATAAATAATTATATTAAAATTTATTTTAGATAAGAAAAATTATGCTTTTGAAGCTGCAAAACTGAATTTGAAATTGTATTGTATGCTGATGAACATATTATTGCTAAGGTGTATAAAATATTGTTAAAGTTGAACCTGGAAAATGAATGTTAAACACTGTATGATTCAGTGGAGAAAAACTTTGGTTACAATACGTGCTTGAACAGTGAGAAAATATGTGGATGAAAGGGATGAAATTGACATTGAACTATAACCTAAAAGAGGATTTTTACAAAAGGATATATTGTTGGTACTTAACGCCTGACAAATTGTTACAGATGTCTTTTTATCCTATGTGGTGGATCTGTGAGAAAGTAAAGAAATGTTGGGGCCAGATTGATGCCCTGATTCAGAAAATCATTAGAAACAAAATGCAACCAAAACCAGAAACTTTTCATTTTTATGACTATTGGATAATGATCTTGAAAAAATGCTGAACTTTCTTAATGTGTTTTTGGGCTGCAGTGAGACTTTTACCTGCACAAAATTAGAAGGACATGTCAATTCCCACAACGGATGAATGGATGGAAAAAATGGTGGAACTGGCAGAGATGTCCTAATCAAGGAAATGAATCTATCCAGCTTTGTATCTATTTGGAAACTGCTTCCAGACCTTGGCTTGAAACAGACAAAAAACACCCTAGCTTGGGGTTTTGATGATCAGATAGTTTGATCTGACTAGTAATTATTAATTATATGAAAGCAAAAAGTAAAAATTTGAGACTCTAATTTTACTCTCTAATATGCTACATTGAAAGAAATTGGAAATCACTGCTTTCTTTTCTTTTTTTTTCTTCCCCTCAAATTGTTTCTTTCTCCTCTTATTCACCATTTTCTTTATCTTTATTGCCTTTATTTCCATTTGTACTTTGTACTAAAATAAACTTCAGCAAAATCTTCTATTGGAAAAAAAATATTAGAGTTGATTATGAGAGGGAACTTTCTTATTTTCATTTGTTTTTTGTACTTTAACCAGATGCTTTTATATAATACCCAGTGAATATAGAGATGAAAGTTACTATATTGCATTAAGAATTGGTGTCTACCTCATTCATCCCAGAACTGTAAATTAAAATTATAATTAATAAATACTCAAATTATTTCTTCACTAATATATGAAAAAGATATTTTAAGGCAAAAATAATATGCAGTTTATTTATGGGGAAATAAATAAAATTTAGCATGGATAATATTATTAATATTAACAGTTACAGCAATCAGCAATGCAAATAAAAAAAGTTGAGGGAGAACACGTCATGGAACAAGTCCCTTTTAATATTATTTTTATTTCCTGTAGCTACTAGAATTATAGCACACCGTGTTTTGTTTAAAGACTTTTGGAGGCAACTGGGCCAGAATAAAATCAACTAGTAAACACAGCCAGCAAAGGTTTTCTTTAGTCTTCCATTGCTTAACTGACAAAAAATTAATATTCAGTAAGTGCTGAAAGTGAAATAATAGATTAAAAATACAGTTTTCTTACAGTCAATCTCCCAGGATAGACCCCATTTATTGTCCTATTTTTCAACCAAACATCTTCTAGAAAACCTGACAAAAAGATTAACATTCTCCTACTCTCCCTATGTGGGTGGATTTCTATCTTTTCTTTTCTCAGGAGATCAAGGTGCTCTATATACCATCACCTCTTCTCAGTGCTAAAGATATTCTTGGCAGGTTCTCCAGAGTTTTAGGCAAACATTTTAACCATAACAAGAAAAACAACTTGAATGAAAGAAGAGGGTTGGTACTTTCATCAATGATTAATTGCAATATACTGTAGAGTGTTCCAATTGAACATTAGCATTCTTTTAATGTTATAGTTCTCTTTCAACTGTACATTTTTATTATATTTTTCCCCTTCTCTTCCCAATATGTATCAAGCTGTAGCTTAACTGTTTCAATTTAATACTATTCTCATTTCTGATTTCCTACAGATGTGGCATTCACCTTAGTCATAGCTTAAAGATGGAAAATCAAACATTTGTCTCTTACTTTCTGCTCCTGGAATTCTCCAAAGATCGGCATCTGCAGCTTTTACATTTCTTCTTATTCTTCATATTATATCTGGCAGTTACATCAACAAATCTTCTCATCATCTCTGCAATAGCTTTTGACCATCAACTACACAGCCCCATGTACTTGTTTCTGCTAAATTTGGCAGTACAGGATGTGGGCATTGTTTCAGCCATTATCCCTAAATCCATGATAAATTCTCTCATGGACACCAGACACATCTCTTACTTTGGTTGCTTTGCACAAGTCTTGATCTTTTCCTCCTTTGAAGCTTCTGATTTATTCCTTCTGACAGTTATGGCATATGATCGTTATGTTGCCATTTGTCATCCATTGCACTATGAACTGATAATGAATTGGAAAGCCTGCACCAAAATAGTGGTTCTGGTGTGGGTCACAAGTCTTCTCTATGGTATGTTGCACACCATTGGTACTTTTTACCTCTCTTTCTGTTCTAATGTTGTCAACCAATTTTTCTGTGAAATTCCACACTTGCTAAAACTGTCCTGCTTTGGTTTCAATCTAGTTGAAGTTGGATTCCTTATAGTTAGTATAATCACTTTAGGATTAGGTTGTGTTATTTATATCATTGTCTCCTACACTAGGATCTTCATGGCAGTGTTGAGAATTCCTTCTGTGAAAGGAAGGCAGAAGACCTTTTCTACTTGTCTTCCCCACCTTACAGTCTTTTCGGTGTTTTTAGTAACAGTGTGCTTGGCATACTTGAAACCTCCCTCTAACACCCAATCTTACTTAGATTTCACACTAACTGCTCTATATTCCTTTCTTCCACCCGTGTTTAATCCAATCATCTATAGCATCAGAAATAAGAATATCAAATCTGTTCTATATAAATTGTGGCATTTCTGATATTTTCCTTTGATAATATTTTCTGTTCTATGTTTTTTCATATCAAAAAAGTTAAGGAAGCAGCCTTCCATTAAGAAAAAAACCAAAGTAGAAATTAACTTTCAAGTATCCCCAGTGTCAAAGTATTTAAGATAAAAAAAATCATTGGAAGTTTGAATTACTGGAGTTTGTTTTATACATTACATCAAGACATTTTCATTTAACACCTGAATAATGAATAAAACACAGTTTCTAAGACTGAAATACCATAAATCATGAATCAGCATTATAAAAATATACTAAGTGGTCTAGCTAGTTCATCATCTAAACTTACTAGTCTGTCTGGATTGCTACATGGTTCTGATAACGGAGCAAGTCATTGGAGATTTGATCATTGCTAGAAGAATTGCAAAACTGTGTAACCATGATTTAAACTTGGTCTCAAATTTTTAGAAATAAAAAAAAACCCAGATCTTCCTATCAGACTTCTTGCAGACTTCTCTTCTAGCAATACATCTTGATTCTTCAAACACTAAATCCCATATTCATAAACTTGCTTGTATTTGAAGACTACAGTCATGAAGTGGGTAGATAAATACTTTATTGTAGAAATTCTTGTAAACTGTACATCAGTCCTCTCTAGTTCACAGAAAACAATACATAGTCATCTATATTCCAAGGATGTATCACAGAGGTGGGCAAATTGATCAAGAAGCCACATGAGGAACCGGGAGTACCACTCTACCCTCTGCTGCTGCCATCCCATCCTGATGCTGCCAACATTCTGTCCCACCCCATTCTGATGCTGCACCACAGGCTATGAGCCTGTGAGCCTATGAGCCTGAGGTGGCCATATCTGGCCAAGTCTGTTGTAGGTGATAGAAGAGACAATGAAGCCTTAATTGCTGCGTGCTTATTTGGCTGTTTCTAATTCAGTTTTCTATACAATAAGCAGTGGTTAGGTGGGGAAAGGTCTGAAGAAGTTCAGAGGAGAGAAGGTGTAAACAACAAGACCCAAACATGCTCAAGTCTATACACAGGAATCTTCTCAGACTGGATGAAACTAGATAAAGTTCAACAGCATTCAAATGAGGTCACTTTTCATGCCCACATAGGGATTCCAGATTAATTTCCTGTTTAATTCCTCTATCTGGCTCAGTTTCTCTCCTGCAGCTGGTGGATTGTGCTTAGAATGCTGACAGCTAAATACTAGTCAGAATATCCCTGATGCTTGGTGTTGTGTCTTGAGGCTGCAAAGGCAGGCTCGGGATGTTGCAACAGTCCCGGGCAGTTGCAAGCTGCCCGGGACCAGACTGGCTGGTGCCAGCTTTGCATGCATGCGTGAGGCGCGGAGCGCGCCAAATGTTGCCATTCGGCCCAGGGAAGCGTTCTGAAGAGAAGCAGAGAGGCCTGCGTGCCTCAGAGATGTAATGGAGTAGAAGAAACAACAATAAAGGCTTCTTGACACTATGAGATGCTCTGTGCTTATTCGCTATTAAGCCGAGGACTCAACACTGGCAATGAGGGTGGGATGCCTTACAATTAATTAAGAAGAATTGTAAGCTTACCCAGGAGTCCTGAGAGTGGCTAGGAAGATGGCGTTAAATTCAGCACCTGCCTGCCAGTACAGCATCGCTGGAGGTAAGCTGGCTGATAGACCCTTTCCTTACACTGGAGAAAATGGCAAAGATAGGGAACTCTCTGAATTTGATGTCATGCACCCAGAGAGATGGGAGTCTTATGTGGCCAGAGTAGAAAACTACTTGAAAGTAAACAAAGTAAGAGAAGATGGCTTAAAGGCTGCTACTTTGCTTTGTGTTTGTGGTCAAGATGCATTTGAAATTGCTGAAAATTTAGCAGCCTCTGCCCCTCTTGAATCTGTAACCTACACAGATTTTAAAAAATTACTAAAAGAACATTTTCAGCCCAAGTTGTCTGTTATTGCATGGAGGCATACTTTTGAACAGAGGTATCAACAAGCCGGCGAATCAGCTAAAGAATACATTGCAGCTTTGAGAAGAGCAGCTAAGCCTTGTGAGTTTAAAGACTTAGAAGAAAGGTTGAGAGACAGATTTGTATGTGGGCTTAGAAACAGAGACTTGCAGCAGAGACTTTTTGCTAAGGAAGACATATCGTTCCAAGATGCCTTGAGAGAGGTTACTGCAGAAGAGGCAGCAGGTGGGGCAATCAAGAATATGAGGCCTATCAGAAGCACTCCAGAAGCTGTTTCTGTGCACCATGAGAGAGTCCAGGAGAGCTCGGAAGAGGATCCTGAAGGTGGATCATCTCTACCCAGCCAAAGAAAGGAAGCAGAAGGAAGGCAAAGAAAAGTCTTCAGTTGTACCCAAGTGCTTCGGGTGTGGAGGTCGCCACAAGAGGACCGACTGCAGGTTCCATTCTGCAATCTGTAGAGCATGTGGAAAGCAAGGCCACATAGCAGCTTTGTGTCTGGGCCGCCAGAAGGTACAACCTCGAGAAGAATTGTGCCTGAAAGGTACCAGGGTCCCCAGCCAAAACAGGGTGGGTTTCTGTGCTTCATGTAGAAGCATTTATAGGAGAGGCACACACAGGCCATTTAAAAAGAAACAGTCACTTAAGGTGAAGTTGCAAGAAGTTCCATTGGTTATGGAACTGGACATTGGGTCTGCCCTTTCAATCATTTCTATTCACACTTTCAGAAAGATTTGCTCTAGCAGTGGGTTCCAGGCCAAGCTTAGGCCATCCGAAATAGTCTTGACAGACTTCCAAAATTCAAGGTGTGTGTTAAGGGGGAGGTCACCCTTAAAGTACAATACAAGGATTTTGAAGGTCCATTGGATGTATTGGTAGTTGGGGGTGAACAAATGAGTGTCATTGGACTCGATTGGTTTGAAGCCTTGGGAATACAAGTTACAGGGCTACACAATTTGTAAACATTAGGTCTACAAGAAGTCTGCAAAGAATTTGCAGATGTCTTCAGCCCCCAGCTGGGAACCTACAAAGGCCCCCAGTTTCCTTGAAACTGGACCCCACTGTCACCCCCATTAGGGTGAAAGCAAGGAAAGTACCCTTTGCTTTGAAAGGAAAAATTGATGCTGAATTGGACAAATTAATTCAGCAAGGTGTTTTAGAACCTGTTGACTCAAGTCCATGGGAAACTCCCATAGTCACGCCTCTCAAGGCTAATGGGGACATTCGCATCTGTGCAGATTACAAATGCACTCTAAATAAGGCATTGCAACAGGGATGGATGTTGGCAGCAGCCGGGCCCCAACAGAGAGGCCACAGATGGCCTATTCCAAGATTCCGCAAGTGTTTTATTCATTTATTTATTTATTTATTTATTTTTATTTATATGCCGCCCAATCCCAAGGGACTCAGGGCGGCGTACAAAATTAAAACAATAATCTAACTATAAAACAATAAAATAATACAATCATACAGCGTGTCCAATCATATTCCCCCCCCTGGGGACATCAGCCCCAGGCCTCCCGGAACAGGAGAGTTTTAACAGCTTTCTTAAAGGTTGGCAGGGTGGGAGTAGTTCGAACCTCGGGGGGAAGTTGATTCCACCATGTTGGAGCCACCACAGAAAAGGCCCTTCCCCGAGGGCCCGCCAGCCAACATTGTCTGGCCAATGGGACCTGAAGGAGGCCCAATCTATGGGACCTCACCGGTCTCTGGGAACTGTGAGGCAGTATGCGGTCCTGTAAGTAACCTGGCCCTATGCCATGAAGGGCTTTAAAGGTGATAACCAACACCTTGAATTGCATCCGGAGACCCACAGGAAGCCAGTGCAGTTCACGGAGGATAGGTGACATGTGGGCGTACCTTGGCGCGCCCACAATCGCTCTCGCGGCTGCATTCTGAACCAACTGCAGCCTCCAAATGCTCTTAAACGGTAGCCCCATGTAGAGCGCATTACAGTAATCCAGTCTTGAGGTGACAAGGGCATGAGTGACCATGAGTAAAGCCTCCTGGTCCAAATAAGGCCGCAACTGGTGCACCAGGCGAACCTGGGCAAAGGTCCCCCTGGCCACAGCCGATAGATGTTGTTCCAAATTTAGCTGTGAGTCCAGGAGGACATGCAAGTTGCATGCCTGCACTGAGGGAGGTAAATTTGCCCTCCCCCCAGGACTAATGATGGACCATCCAGTTAACCTTTGGGAGGCAAGACACAGAGCCACTTGGTCTTGTCAGGGTTGAGTCTAAGCCTGTTCACCCCCATCCAGACCCTCACATCTTCCAGGCACCGGCACATCACGTCGACTGCTTCACTGAAAGGACACGGGGTGGAGATATACAATTGGGTATCATCTGCGTACTAATGATACCTCACCCTGTGTCGCCGAATGATCTCACCCAGCGGTTTCATGTAGATGTTAAAAAGAAGGGAGGACAGGACCGAGCCCTGAGGCACCCCATGATCGAGGCACCTAGGCCTCTGTCTGCCCGCCAACATCGACTGTGACCTGTCAGAGAGGTAGGAGGAGAACCACCGCAATACGGTGCCGCCCACCCCCACCTCTCCGAGATGACGCAGAAGGATACCATGGTCGATGGTATCGAAAGCCACTGAGAGGTCAAGAAGCACCAGGATAGAGGAATGATCCCTATCCCAGGCTCGCCAGAGGTCATCGGTCAGTGCAACCAAAGCAGTCTCAGTGCTATAGCTGGGCCTGAAACCAGATTGAAAAGGGTCCAGATAATTAGTTTCATCCAAGGATCGCAAGAGTTGGGATGCCACCACCTTCTCTACAACCTTCCCCACAAAGGGAAGGTTGGAGACAGGACGAAAGTTCTTCAAAACAGCTGGGTCCAGGAAAGGCTTCTTGAGGAGGGGCCTCACCACCGCTTCCTTTAAAGGTTGCAGGAAAGACCCCTCTATCAAGGAGGCGTTGATTATTGCCTGGAGCCAGCCTCGTGTCACCTTCCTACTGGCAGAAACCAGCCAGGAGGGGCACGGGTCCAATAAACAGATGGCGGCATTCGTTGCCCTCATGGCCTTGTCCACTTCATCAGGGGTCACAGGCTCAAACTCGCTCCAGATAACATGACTAAGACCAGCCCCCGGCAACTCGGCTGGCACTGCCCAGTCGGAGTCCAGGTCTCTCTGAATCTGAGCGATTTTGTCCGAAAGAAACTGAACAAACTCCTCAGCTCTCCCCTGCAAGGGTGCCTCCGCCTCCTCCACTTTAAGAAGGGAGCGGGTCACCCTAAACAAGGCGGCCGGGCGAGATTCTGCGGACGCAATAAGTGCGGAAAAGTGAACACACTTTGCCGCCCTTATCGCCACTAAATAAGTCCTAAGATAGGCTCTTAATAGTGATCGGTCAGATTCAGAGTTACTGGCCCTCCAACGTCGCTCTAGACGTCTCTTGTGGCGCTTCATCTCCTGGAGCTCCTCAGTAAACCAAGGCGCCCTCCGGGGACCACCACCTCAGAGAGGTCGCAAAGGCGCAATTCGATCCAGGGCCTCGGACACCACCTCATTCCAGGCCACAACCAGGGACCCGGATGAGTTGTGGACAAGGGAGTCAGGTATTTCCCCAAGCTCCTCCTGGAACCGATCTGGGTCCATTAGGCACCTGGGGCGGAACCACCTAGTCGGCTCCCTCTCCCTGCGATGGGGGAGTGATGCTCTGAAGTCCAGCCTCAATAGGAAATGATCTGTCCATGACAAGGGCGAGATCTCTATTCCCCTTAATTCCAGATCATGTCTCCATTGCCCCGAGAGAAACACAAGGTCGAGTGTGTGACCACCCCTATGAGTCGGATCCTGGATTACCTGGGTCAGGTCCATGGTTGCCATGGAAGCCATGAACTCTTGCGCCACCTCTGAGCGATCGCCGAGTGATGGCAGGTTAAAGTCCCCCAGTACCATAAGTCTGGGGAACTCCACCGCCAACCCGACTACTGACTCCAGCAACGCAGGCAGGGCTGTTGCAACACAGCTGGGAGGTAGGTACGTCAGCAGCAAGTCCAACTGAACCCGTGAACCCAAGTTCAATAGGAGGGACTCACACCCAACAACCTCTGGGGCAGGAATCCCACGAGGACTCAAGGACTTCCAAGTGATGACTGCCACTCCCCCACCCCTGCCCTGATGTCAAGGCTGATGAAGCATCACAAACCTGTCCGGGCACATCTCCGAGAGGGAAACACCCCCCTCAGGGCCCAGCCAGGTTTCAGTTATACATGCCAGGTCCGCCCCACTGTCCAATATTAAATCACGGACAA